ACAGTGAGAAAAACTTCACTTCATTTTGGAGATAAGACATCTCACCATGACTGCCAAAGTCTACATTGGCTTAGTTACAAACCACAGGCTGTAACCTGTGGGGTTATAACTCACAAGTCCCCTCCTGGATGTTGCCAAACTCAGAGGGAGCTGTTAACATGTTAATGATAGGTGACCTTACTAATAGGCAGAGCAGTCTGGTTCACCACTTACTGTGCTCTGGCAATAGATATAAGAAGTCTAATTCAAGCTTGCAGAAGCTTTTGCAGACCTCACATTTTGAAGAGACAATAGATAGATTGTCACAAGTTTAGAGTGACAGGTATATTAACCCCACCTTTGAAACCTCACCAAAGCATGCAGCTCAGCACTGGAGAAGAACAAGCACTAGATAAACAGCCTGGAGTAGAGCAGATTGTATAGACAATCACAGAAAGATAAAATACTTTTCTTTTCCTGATTGTTATTACAAGCAGAATGCAAATGCATACCTCAAAGCCTTGGAGGCGACCCAGGTTCATCATATCATTGCAACGTTTCGGTACAAGGCACATTAATTCAACTGCTTTCTGTTAAGGAAAAAGGATGTTGTATTGTTACAAAAGAATCAGAGGGTTCCTAAAGCAAAGTGTCAAATAATGAACTTCAGTAGCATGATCACTGCTAGCAGTTATTCATGGTGAGGCCCTCATGCACTGAAGATATACTGCAATGCCTAAAAAAGTACGGTGCACCTACAGAGCAGGATGGTGCCTTCATCTTTTACTTCTTACTTAAGCTAAGCGAAAGAACACATTTAGAATACCAGCGGGATCTTCAACTATTGTCAAAGGAATACTGAGGTTTTCATTCCTCCATATAAAGTGCCATTAATAACATAGCACTATTGTCCAGGATGTGAAAACGTACCTCTATATCTGAGCACTCCAGACCAGCTTTTTCACTGTACCTCAGGAAGTCCTGGAGAAAGCAGAAAGGTTTGCATTAAGGCACTTCAGAAAGAGAAGACAAAAGATGCCAGTTTGAAAAAGAAAAAGCATATTCAGCATGTGATTTTCTGAGAAGGAACTTGCTAATATTAATAAATTCATCCTCAGATGTTACTGAACGTTATAACCACTTTATAGATATGGAAAAGGGGTGTGGATGGTTGCTGAAAACATCACAGAAAAAAGACAAAGCTGGTATTGGCCCTTGGGAATGCTTATTTGGTCCCTGTCTTAAGCCACAAGACCACACACACTTGAAGATTTTTCTTTTCCTTTTGGCATTTCAGGGAACACACTGCTGTCTCTTTGCTAGTGTGCAATTACCAAACTGTGGGCTGATGGCAGCCTGCTTGAGACTAATTCAGAAAAGAGAAGAAACCAGCTCAGAGCCCCGGTATGGCTGGAGATTACAGGGTAGGGTTCAGACATGCCTAACATTTAGATATTAGGTTGAGACCCCTAGGGATGAATTTTCAGAAATGCTGAGTAATTGGCATTGTAGATAAAGTCAGTAGAAGCCGGAGTGGTCAAACTCCTGAGGAAGAATATTGTGGTGGGCTCCCAAAATTTTAAGACATCAGAATATTCTGCAAATAAGTTTCTTATGCTAATTTGAAGAGAAATATTCAGAAATGAAGGCTATAGCATTTATTAGAAGAATGCCATTTAGCACCAAAGACAGGCTTTATTAACACACTTGTGCATCTTTATTGCGATTTAAAAGAATTGAAGGAAAGTTTACTCTGAAACTTCAGAGGAAGAAAATTCCTATTAGAAGTTTACTCTTCTATAAAAAAATTCCAAAAGAAAACAAAAAAAGAAAAATCTTTTTATTATCCTAAATTGCAAACTACTCCCACAGATGTGGCCCTCTTGCTCTCTGGACATTTTCCATGGGACTCTGTCATTGTATGCCCATGTTTAAGCAGACTCCTCTTTCC